ACATGAAAATTAGCTTGGCTATGTCAATTAAAATTAAAAATTAAATTGATAATGGCGGTTATACACAGTTAACGATGATAATTAATAATAAAAATTGATGCAAGGAAACTATAAGTTTCAATGATCAAATGTAGTATATTTTAAAGACAAGAAAAAAAATAAAAAAAATTAACTCGAAGTTATTTCCATTTTTTATTTTTAAAAACAAAAATAAAAATTTTTAGAAACAATTAAATAAAAAAATAAGTATCCAAATGAAATTTAAGTATTTCTGTTTTTCAAAATAAAAAACAAACAGATCTTATATGTCTGAAGAGAGGGTTTGTGTATCATGATCATCCTTTGCCAATCCAACAACATACTTATAAAGAGATGGGGTCATCTATATCGTTGTTAAAAAAGCTTTTTAGAATGCTATTTATAAGTCATTTTATAAAATCTATGAAATCATCAATAATTTTTTTATACTACTATCTCGGTATAATCAATTTTTTTTGATCAAATAATTTTTATCTCAATGTCTCTTTAGTTTCCATCCCTACTTTAATTTTTAAATCAATTGTATCATTGACAAAAAAAAATCATTTTAATTATAAAAGATAGCCAGCTAGCCAGAGATCATGTGGATATCGTCATTCAGATGAACATCCTAGCTCTTCATGTTATTTTGATCATTTATTTTTGTGTATGAACTATTTATAAAATTTTAAAAAATAAAATACGCATAGGATTTTTTTTTTTTTAATGCAACTCGACAATAGACATTTTAGCGGATGATAATTTAAGGAATGAGCTGGCTGAGAAAAATAAAATAACGAGAAATATTTGCAAATCTTTCAGGCCAGTAAACAAAACCGTGCCCCATCCATCTACTACTTTGTTGTTTTTTTTTTTCCGGCCCACAGCTACTAACTTAAAGCTCTGACAAATGTTTTTTTTTTAAAAAAAATCTCAGGACATTTTGAAGCAAACAGACTTTTTTATAATTCTAGAGATGCTTAACGGCTCGATCCAAAAGCTTCCCTGTCAAAAGTTCATACCATAGTCCGTGTGCACAAAATATTAACGTGGAATCAAATATCACTCTATTGATATGAAATTATTGTTAGTCTTTTTATAAATATTCTTTAAATCTAAAACTATATATTAGCCTTGAGAACTCTTGAGACTTAACCTCACCAAAACATTTTTAGAGCGACAAATAATAGAAAGGTATTTATAATCTAACTGTTACATTTTCCCTCCATTCAAAAAAGTAAAATATTTTTTGAGGATTAATTTTAAATATATAAGATATTTTAATTTTTTAAAATGTAATAATTGTTTTTTTCAAAAAAGTACCTCTATTAATAAATAACTTTATATTTATTATAATGTTTAATAGAGTAAAAATGAAAAAAAATGTGATCAGTTTAAAAGTAGATAATTACTTTATTGAAAGATGAGATTCGATTAATATATTTTATATTTTTTTTGGAGGGAATAGTCTTTTTGTCTCTTTTTTTAGTAAAAAATTTAAAATCTTCTTCCATGAACGTACAAAGCCACTAAACCTGTTGCCTACCCACGAACCTGTGACGTGCATAGGAGGATGATAGGAAGCAATTTTTCAGTGTTCTATAAGCCTGCCTATTTTTTAATTTAAAAAAGGAATTATATATATTTAATTTATAATCAGCACTTAAACAATCATCAAGCATAGTAAATGACCAGGGGTTTTTATGATGTCTGGATTGAAGATGAAATTGTTTCTTCAATTCCAAAGCTTCCAAATTGTCACACCCCATATCAAAGAGACTCCAGCTTGGTGCAAATCAGAACCAAGTGTCAAACCAATCATTCAAAGATGCCGTATATAACTGAGCATATATGGTACCTGGGATTGATTAAGCAAGTGATGCGATATGTTGCCGAGCATAGACGCAATCCCTTAAGATGCGTCGACATGGAGGACTGTGGACTGCCGCTGCTTCTCCGTTGATTTGTCGTAAACCACATAAACACTTCGATTCTCTCAGCATACCTCTCCACTCTTCTACATGGCTTTGAACAAGTATGCAATCTTAACCCAGAAACTACCTTTCCGATTGGCTTTCCATGTCATGATATCATAACTAGCACTTGCCTAGGTGTGGAACAGTGAACACATTCATAAAAAAAAAAGAGCAATTCAATTCTTGGGATGTGAAATATGAATCATAAAATTTTTAAAGGATATGATGATTTTCACATTATAATATATATTAATAAGTTTTTATTATGTTTAATATAGAATAAAAGATGATTTAATTTATTTTTTGTGTTATTTTTTTAATACATTCATTTCATTTGCTTCTAATAACCAAACGTGACATGAATATCAAGTGGTCTATTTGTTGGTGATAGAGTATGTAACAAAGTGAATGGATGGAGTCAAAATTCCTCTCACAAGCGGGACGCAAGACCTTAATCAAAGATGTGATTAATGCTGTTTCTACCTTTTACATGTTGTGATTTAAATTCCGGGTGCAGACTTCTAAAGAACTAAACAGCCTTATCTCCAACTTTTGTGGGAGGGCTCTGTTGCTGGTAATAAAATTCACTGTTAGCTTGGAAAAATATGATTGTCCCAAGGAGGAGGGAGGTATGGGATGGATTAAAGACTTTATATAGGATTGATTTCAGTGCTCATCACCATGGTTTATCCAGATTTTGACCTGAATAGTCCAAATTTTGAAGTATTGAAGTACTATTATATATTTTTATGTTTTATTTATTAAAAATTTTTTAATTTTTTATTTTTACTTGACCTAGATTTAATTGAAAGGCCCAATTTAATATTAATGTTTTATAACTATATATATTGATTATCTAATGTACTTTGCATAGTTCCAAATTTAATCCGATATTAATTTGATTTGTGCAGAGTACATTTAGATAATTAATGTACATCAATTATAAAACTTTTAATATTAAATTAGGCCCTTCAAATTAAATCTAGATCATATTAAAAATAAAAATTTATTAAAATTATTTTATAATTTTGATTTTAATAAATATAAAATATATAAAACTTTAAATCTGAACTGTTAGATCAAAATTTGGATGATCCAAATTTCATCATAGTGATGCATTGGAGCAATGAAACCAATTCCCTTTATATGCTACAAACAATCTCTACTAGTTATCTACTAATGATCAAGCAACGGCCAAATCCAATACTACAGCTTCTACACTGATTGTTAACTAACAATGGATGCTTGATGGATTGCGAAATCTAGTTGATGATCAATCTTTATCGGCAATCCTTCATATACCTCTAGCGGCCCAATTGTCTTGTGATGAAGTGTTCTGGAGCTTGGCACGCAATGGGCAATACACTGTTAAATGTGGGTACACTTATGCTGTTTCAGGACCTGTTTGGAAAAAGGTATGGAAAATTAAGACCATTCTCTACATTGCTCCTTTTTTTTTTTTTTTTTTTTATGGCGTGTCTTGTCTATGGCTCTTGCTACTAATGAAGCCTTAGTCTATTGTCAAAGAAGGCTTAATAAGCTTTGTCCAATATGGGAAGTTGATATTGAAACTATCGATCACCTCCTTTTCTTTGTCGCTGGATGCATTGTGTTTGGCTTAGTAGTGGCCTCACATTGAAAACTAACCTTGTGCATGAGAATTTTGGATTGGTGGGCTGATTTATTTCTGGAAATGGGGTTATTAAGTTGTATGATGTGGCCTTTATTTGTTAGATTTTATGGCTCATTTGGAAGGCTTGAAATGATTAAATCTTCAATTATTTAGATGTTAATCCACGTTAGTGATTGAGAATACAAAGACAAGCGTCGATGAGTATTGGAATGCTTGTGGTTTTGTCTCTGATGCTGCCCCCATTAATATTGAACCTTCTCGTTAATGCTTACGGAGACTTCCTCCAGCTGGGTTCTGGAAGATTAATTTGTCTCTAATCCTTGTGCTTTTCGTTGTTTATATTAGTGTTTTGAAATATTTAAAGATAATAAATCTTTTAGTCTCTTAAATTTGACATAAATATCAATTTGGTTACTCAAATTCATTTTTATTTATTTGCCCTTTAAATTTGCTTGGCCTTTCTATTTGTTCCTTGTTATTTAAAAAGAAAGTATAACTCTTATTAAAACCTACTATCATGAATAATAAAATATTAATAGCAACTATGTAAATAAATTAGTGAAAAAAACATAATTATTTTGATAGAAAAAACAGATGAGAAAATTTCAACAAATAAAAAAAATCCAATATAAGAGAGTAGTTTAATAAAGGATTAATTTATTTTCATTTATTACATATACAAGTCAAATGATAGCATTCTTTAAACATTATATTAATTTAAAAGTTATTTTGTTTTTTAAATTTAAGACACTAACACGATAATTTAAAAAAATAAAAAAAATATTAAATTAATAAAAAGTAAACTCGAGTAAATTAATCGATAGATGAAACAGATTTTTTTTTTACCAAAGATAGATGAAACAGATTTAAAAAATTAAAAATTTTGTCATCCCAAATATTTATTTTAGTGATAATTCCCACTAAACTTCATGCTACAGGATCACATGCTACTCATGCAAAACATGAGCCATGGTCCCCTAAAGTCATGACTTCAAGAGTTCAAGTTTCTAATAAATTATTGTACCAAAAAAAAAAGGCTTTTAATAACATTGCAGGCCTCCAGTGTCATTCATAAATCACTTTCAGTTATTTTATTAAGAAAGATAATTAAATTACTAATTTTGTTTGATTTTTTTTTTTTGCTTCTATCGTTACTTAATTAAAAAATTTTAAATTTATATTATATTATCTTTATTATTAATAAATTTCAATAAAAATAACATTAAAAAACATGATTAATATTTTATAATATGTCTTATACTAAAGATAAAAATATTTTTAAATGTGTCTTTAGAGAAAATAAAAACTGAGGAGGAGGGAACATAAATTTTGATGGTGTCACTAAAGGAAATGAACAATGAGAAGGCTTCATGGAACCAAAAAACCAAATCAAAATATGCAAAAATTCTTCGTTGACACCATCAAGTAAGGCAGCAATTAGCAGTTAGGTCTTTGGAAACAGAGAAATGAAAGATAACCCAGTGATTCCCATCAATAACGCTAACAGGGAAAAATCAGGGAAGAGGAAAGGGCTTGAAGCCTTCACTGACCAATTTTTCCAATGGCCCAAACAGTGGTTTCGGAAGATTCTCCCATTCGTACCAGTCCCATCCCTCACACTTGTTTGGCTCCATGTTCTTCGGCTCTTCTCTGCATTCGCCGGTTCGGGCTCGCATGAAGATGGTGACGAAGTGGCACGGCTTTGGATCCTCCAGCAGTATGTTGTTCGTCACTGTTAGAAACTCCGTTTTCGCTATCTCCATTCCCGTTTCCTCTTTCACTTCTCTGATTGCACATTCCTCGAAGCTCTCGCCTGAAAATAAACCCAGAAAAGGGGAATTTCAAATGTCCCGAGAGCCAAACAGGTGAAATAACCAAAAGAGGTTGAAAGACGGGTAAAAGATGATGACCAAATTCGAGGTGACCACCGGGCAGAGCAAAAGTGGAGTTGCCGACAGTGGTGAGCCGCCGGCCTAAGAGCACGGATGTGCCCTTCAGGATGAACACCCCCACACCCACCGCCGGCAGGGGCGACGCTTCCGGTTTCTCCATCTTGTTGAAGCTCTCGATCACTGTGTGCAGTGCAATCCGCTGGAGAAGCGACGATTTATTCTTGGCTATCACTGTGACTGTGACTCATGGCCACGGCGTCGTTTAGAAGAATGAACGCGAATATTTGGTTATCACTGTACTGTCAATATCATGTAGAACAAAATACAATGGTAAGTTCCAATACAATTATTATTATTATTAGTCTTTATAATATTTTTGATTAAAAGACAAAAATGTCTTGAAATAATTTTTTAAAAATGTCTGGCATCTTAATTTTTTTTAAATATTTTTTGCCTTAAAAATTAAAAAAAAATATTTTATCCCATCATTAAAAATTACAAACATTGACCATTAAATTGAAATTTAATTAAGGATGTTTTTATAGTTTTTCCTTCTTCCTTTTGCATTTAGTGTCCGATTTTGTTATTCGATGAATTATTTAACTTTTTTTTTTAAACGAATGAAAACGAAGATTGAAAAATATGAAAACAAATGAGGGCAAAATTATAAAATATCTTGGTCAAAACTTCAATTAATAGCCAACATTTTTATTTTTAATAGTGAGATAAAAAAGTTTTGTTTTTGAAACTTTCAAGACAAAAATGTTTCAAAAATAAGTTTAGGATGTCAAATGCTCTCGAAAAAAAAACTTTCAAAATATTATTATTATTTAACCTTAATAATTTTTCGTTGTTCATAATTCTTAAATTTTATTTGTTTGGAATAAGATGTCCTATTGAATTTCCAATAACCTCAACAATCCCATATAAGTTCAGTGGTAATCCAATAACATTGAAGAACCTAACATCTAGCTTGGAGCATATATTGTAAACTTGAAGTGGATAGGAAAAGTAGAACAGATCAAAGTAGTTACCAAAGTATTATATGAACTTTTCCTTCAAGACTCCATTGTTTTTTTGGGGCCAACTTAAAGACTCCATTTTTGATTTATTAGAGATTGAGGCTTAGTGGGATGTATCCTCCTCCTATCAACAAGACTACTTCGTTAGGCCTAAAAAAAAAATTATAATACTTCTGTTGTATGTATGTTATGTGTATAATTGATAATTATATTATTTTATATATGTGTGTGATAAATGTATTGTTATATATTTTACCGCAGATCAAAGAGAATACCAAATATTAGTTGTTTTCCCAATTTAAAAAAAACTTTAGTGGATTCCAATATAACTTTAATTGTTGGGTTGAACTCATTATCTATTAAAAAAAGAATGGTGAAATTCATAATTTTCTAATTTTTATTATATCACTCTATTTTAATTCTCTTTAAGAGTCTCACTTTTTTTCTTTCCTTGCATTATCCATTGATATCATAAGTTTGAATTATACAAGATGGAGTAGAAGCACTTCATCAACAACAATTATCATCTCCCTTATGAAATTGATTTAACCTTTCATCTCTTTGTATCTATATAATAATAGATATTTTGCGTTTGAAAAGGACAACTATACATGTTAGGCTCTACTGAAAATTTTGCCTTAAACCTCAAAATTTCTTCACATGACTCTAGTTTAATTTAATGGAAGAGAGTTGAGGTGATTATAGCGATTTTAGTAACCCCTCCAAATCTCTCAATCCAAAGGGAATGGAAAATTCATTGTTTTAACCTCACAAGGAAAAGAAGTAGCCTCTAACAAACCAAGTTTGGTTGGGTGTGTTTAGAGGGAAAGGTGTAACACACTAAATTTTTTTTAAAAAATTTAACTCAACCATAGTTGGGTTACAGTCACTTAACACATTTTTATATCAATAATTTCAATATAAAAATATTTATAATTGGCTTCAACTCACACAATATAACATTTCAGATAAATTTTTACCTCCCACATGCCATTAGGCTAAATCACATTTGTTCATCCTTATACTCCCAACAAGTAAATTAAATCACATTTGTCCATCCTTATACTCCCAACAAGTAAAATAAGCAATTTAGTTAATTTTCAACACAAGCCAGTTATTTGGCCTTATAATCATGCCTTTCAAACTATTTCTATTTTTGGTACACTTTGGATGACTGTAATTTTAATATTGGTTTACTTTGGATTAGTTAAAATGGCATGATTATGAGACCAAATAACTGGCTTGTTTTGAAAATTGACTAAATTAGTTATTTTACTTGTTGGGAGTATAAGGATGAACAAATGTGATTTAGCCTAATGGCATATGGGAGGTAAAAATTAACTGAAATGTTGTATTGTGCGAGTTGAAGCCAATTATAAAATATTTTTATATTAAAATTATTGATTAAAATGTGTTGGGTGGGCTGTAACCCAACTATGGTTGAGTTAAATTATTTTAAAAAAAATTTAGTGTGTTACAAATTTTGGTATCAAAGCTACATGTTTCAAGATTCTTATAAATATGAAATTGTTATACATTAACCTAATTTATTGACAATATACATTATTAAATCATAATGCTTCTCCATTATTTTTCTTGTCTTGAGATTAGTATTGACTTAATTATGTGACTTTCATCCTTTAGGAAGGGAGAGATGGTGTCCAAAATTAGGAGAGGTGGCGAAATTACCGGTGATTTTATAGAGCCAATAGGAAATGACATACCTTTACTGCCATAATCGGAGCCCATACAACAATAAATGGGGCAGGGCGAGCCCATACAGTCACAACTAAGGTAGGATGAGCCAACTATGAGGCAAATGATGGATCTACTGCAAAATCTTAGTGACCACATAAAGAGGCAAGAAGAAGAGTTGGCCGCTTTAAGACAATATAAGGAGAATGCCAACCGAGAGGGAAATGGCCAACAAAAAGGAAGCCGTATCAATGTATACAATGTGAGCCAATCTACTGATAAAGGCTCACCTTCCTATTCTCACCATGAGACTAGTTCGAAGAATGTGAGTCTCCATTCTGAGCAACAGACATCCATGATCACAAAGATCTGGAGTACTTTTTGTAAGTTTATCCTCCTACTTTCGATGGAAATCTTAAGCCAGTGGTGGTTGAAGAATGGATAGATTAATTGGAGAGTATTTTTTGTATGGTTGTGTGCACTTCTAATCAGAAGGTGTAGCTGGCAATATTCCTGTTATAGAAGAGTGCTAAGAAGTGGTGGGAACATCAGGACCAAAGGATGATTCCTCTCTTACTTGGGAAGATTTTAAAGCCATATTGTTCGAGAATTATTTTCCTACTGCATTAAGAGCAGAAAAGGAGGCTGAGTTTCATGCATTCCATTAGGGTGATCTAGATGAGGATGAATTTATTGAACAATTCTCAAAATTATCTAAATACTCCACTTACCTCCAGAAACATGAAGACACGGAGTGGATGGTTGAGCGATTACTAGAGAAGGTGAGGCCTGATCTAAGGGAACAGTTAGCCCTTTTTGAGATCAAGACATTTAGTGAGATGTGCAATAAGTTTTGGATAGTCTCTCGAAGGAAGAGAGAGGCTAGATTAGAAGCTGATAGAGAGAGGAGGAAAGAACCTCATCGGAAGCCCCCTATCCATACTAGACCCATTGGTGGAGTAGAGAGAAGAGGAGCAACCAAGTTTTTGGAGACTTTAGAAATCAAAAGAAGAAGGGCTACTACCATAAGGGTCAAAAGACCACCATAGACCTCATTGTTTGTCTTTGTCTAAGATTGATGTTATTGTGGGGATGGATTGGTTGTCTACAAATGAAGCTGTACTTAATTGTCAGAAAAGAGTGTGTCACTCTCAGCTCTTACTGTAACCCCTGTAGAGTCCTAAAGTCCTATGCTGTTGTCTGCAGCTCAAGTAGAACAGTGTATAAGAAAGGGCTGTCAAGCTTTTATGATTTTCTTCTCAATCAAGGCAGAGATTGAAGAAGGTGTAGATCAGATTCCAGTAGTGAGAGAATTCCCTAACGTCTTTCCTACTGAAGTGATCGGTTTGCCTCCAGAACGAGAGGTTGAGTTCTTGATTGAGCTCGTACCTGGTACAGAGCCTATTTCTAAGGCACCTTATAGGATGTCCCCCTCAGAGTTAGTTGAGTTGAAGAGACAAATTGAAGAGTTGTTAGAGAAAGGGTTTATCAGATCGAGTGTATCACCATGGGGGTCACCGCACTGTTTGTGAAAAAGAAAGATGAAAGCCTTAGATTGTGTATTAATTATAGACAATTGAATAAGGTAACCATCAAGAACAAGTACCCCTTACCTCGAATTGATGATTTGTTAGATCAATTAGTCAATTCAGCGGTGTTTTCTAAGATTGATCTAAGATCAGGGTATCATTAATTGAGGGTTAGAGCAAAGGATATCCCTAAAACTGCTTTTAGGACTAGATATGGGCACTACGAGTTCCTGGTGATGCCGTTCGGGTTAACAAATGCCCCAACTATCTTCATAGATTATATAAATCGAATCTTCAGGCCTTATCTCGATAAATTTATTGTAGTCTTTATTAATGACATACGTATTTATTCTCGGGATGAGGTGGACCATGCTAGACATCTTAAAATTATTTTGGAGATATTAAGAGAGCACAAGGTCTATGCCAAGCTAAGCAAATGTGACTTTTGGCTTAAAGAAGTTAAGTTCTTAGGTCATGTTGTTTCAGAAGAAGAGGTAGCGGTGGACCCCAGTAAGATAGGACCCCAGTAAGATAGATGCAGTGATGAAATGGCAACAACCTCGAAGTGTGATAGAGATTAGGAGTTTCTTGGGTCTTGCAGGCTACTATCGTTATTTCATTTAGGGTTTTTCACAAATTGCAATGCCCTTGACTAAGTTGACCAGGAAAGATGCTCCATTTATTTGGACGAACGAGTGTGAAGTTGCCTTTCAGGAGCTAAAAAAGAGGTTGACCACCACACCGGTGCTCACCTTACCTGTTCCAACTACTCCTTATACCTTGTATACTGATGCTTCTAAGAAAGGTTTAGGTTGTGTATTAATGCAAGAGAATCGAGTAGTGGCTTATGCCTCTCAACAGTTGAGACCTCATGAGGAAAATTACCCTACTCATGACTTGGAGCTTGCTGCTGTGGTATTTGCCTTGAAGATTTGGAGGCACTATCTTTATGGTTCTTCTTTTGAGGTCTTCAGTGATCATAAAAGTTTAAAATATTTGT